CCGCCCGCTCCTCCCCGCGCCCTTCCTCCGCACAGCTGCTCTGTACTCCCCCCCCACACACACACACCCACCCACCCCCACGCACACCCACAGGGGCACGGGGAACACCCCCCAAAAGGAGCATGAATAACACACACACACACAGCCAAGGAGCACCAGTAACAGGCGCACACCCCCAAAGGGGCACCAGTAACACATACCCCCACCAAAAGGGACACGGGTAACACCCCCCCCCCAAGGGGCACGGGTAGCACATGCACACACCCCAAGAGGGGCACCGGGAACACATACACATGCACCCTGAAAGGGGCACGGGTAACACACACATACACACAAACAAAGGGGCACCAATAACACACACATGCACCCTGAAGGGGGCACAGGTAACATACACACACACCTGAAAGGGGCATGGGTAACACCCCCCCCCAAAAGGGCACAGGTAATGCACACAAACCCCCAAAGAGGCATAGGTCACCCCCCCCCCAGGGGTAGGGGTAAGGTAGTAGAGCAAGTTAAGACTGTCCCCTCCCTCGCAAGGTGAAGAGCAGAGGAAGTGGAGTTGTGTGTGCTGTGCAGCGCAGCTCCCTCTGCCTCTGTTGCCTGTTCAGCCCTGTGTTGGCACCAGGGCTTCTGAAGCCTCCCAGGTCGGGCTGCCAGTAGCCATGCCCCCAGCCCCAAGCATGTCAAGAGCAGACAAGTGGGGCTGTGCAATGCAGGTCTCTCTTTGCTTGTGCTGGCAGTTCAGTCCATGGCATGAGGTCTTTCAGAGCTTCCTAGGTCCATCTGCCAGTAGCAGTGCCCCCAGCCTCAAGCAATGCCACACTCCTCTGGCTTTTCCTTAGCAAATCAGGTTGACCACCCAGTTTTGTCTTTTCCCCCTACCCTCCAAGTTTTTTATAAAGATAAGCCATCATGAAATACAGCAACAGCTGTGTTTTTACAGACACGTCAGGATCTAGGAATTTGTATTTGAAATGTAATTAAAAGGAGGAGGGGGAAGTGCACTCCATCTTTTGGGGTTTTTTTTTTTTTAAATAATTTTACAGAGATCTGTTAGGAAACTGCTCAAAGTTCAGCACTGGATGGCTCTCTGGCATCCTGTAGTGGAGGGTGTCCTGGATGGAAGTCATCAGGTATTAAAAACGAGTGCAATATTTACACCCCGCAAAAGGGAATTTAAAAAAAAAAAGGAAAAAAGTGCCTGTGCTGTAACTGGGGCAGGAGACTGGAACGCAACCTCAGAATAGTTCCATAATTGTCTAATTTCTGCTTTTTGTTTCACATTTTGGGAGTAAGTTAACATTTCAGAAAATATGTTTGTTTTCATTTCCCCAGATCAGATTTTATCCCTATGAAACTGACCTTCAAATCATATATTTAAATGATCCAGCAATGCAAATGGGGCAAATTTTTTTTAACTGAAATATGGATTGATATGAAACACTACGGGGCGCGGGGAGGGGGGGATAAAATAAGATTTTATTTTAATTTCCACCCCAACTTTATTTTGGCAAAAAGTGTCTGTCATGAATAATTATGTTTTCTCAACATTTTACTCTAATCCTGTATGTTAAGGTCGTAATTCCCGAATGTCAATTTCTGTCAAAACAAGAAAAATCCATAAATTCTTCTTATAAAGTGAACTATGTATACTGGAAGTGAGCTTCAGAAAAATCAGTGCTCTTGTGCCCTTTTCTTGTCAGTTGTAGTTTTCACCTTGTTTTCAGCTCCTCTTGGGTCTCAGAGAGTTAACAAAAATCACTGTTAACCCTCTAAGCATTGAGCACTATAAGAATATTGAATGAGAAAGATGTATTTATCAAAACAGGAAATCTAGCAAGTGCATAAAAGAGCATAATCTTTCATACCAGTGGGGAAATTTAACTTTTGTGAAAGCGGGTTTAAAAAATGCTTCCCCAAAGTAGAAACTTTGCTGTTCTTTTTCAAACATTCAGCCATAGACACAGATACTGATTTTCTGTAAATATGTATTTGTTTCTTTCAGTAAAAGAGCATGTACACATAAATGTAACCTGTTCTAAATGGGAAAAGATCAAAGCCAAATAAAGCATTCACAAGGAAAATGAATAAATAATCTTGCTGAGGAGAGGACACTAATCAATATGTCTAGCTCAAAACAACAACATTTCTATTTTATTCCTTTTGGACTTTCATTTTGAGGATACAAAAACCAAACTGTCTTTTGGTACAATATTTTAGGACATAATAAAAGCATCACTTGAATCTGACATTACTATTCTGCTTGTAAGGGTAATTGTAACTTTTTCATCAAAATAATAAATCCTGAGTGTGTTTGACTTTGGATTTAAGGTCTGATTTTTTGTCTATGTGCTGACATAAACTTATAATATCATAGCATGTGTCCAAGCTATGTCACTTTTCCTCTCCTACTGAATTGTTACTGATTTTATTTCAGTATGTATTCAAATTTTTATTGACTAATAGGTTACATTTAGAAATTCAGTAATTACCTGGAATTAAGTTCATGGGTGTCTTCGGTTTGCCTGGCTCCACCATCTCTCTTCAAATGAATGCTCAGCAATAGAGGCATCAGGACCACACCAGCATGCCTCTGACCTAGATGAATCAGGCCATTCTCCATACATTCCTCCATATACATATTGTATTGTCTGAAAGTGTCACAGCTAGACGTGCTACAGATGTAATGAAACTGCAGAATAAGATGCTTGTCGCTCCCACTGAAGCACACCCATCTCACAGGCTATTCCTCCTTCCTTCTAAAATACCATCACTCCTTTCAGGTCTTACAGAAAGGGTGCTGAAAATCTAGGAAATCCAGGTGGAGTTTCCTGTTTTCTCCTGATTCCCACAATCAGTAAACAAGCATTTCAGTCACTTCATAATGAATGCTAATCCCACGCTGCCATATTTGCCTGGAGTTTCCAAGCTACAGAGAATTGCATCAAATCAGAGCTGGGCAAAGAATGCTTTTTTTCTCACTGGATAACATTGCTTTTTCTCTCCAGAACTTCAGGTTTGAAAAAATAAGTCATATTGTTAAAATAATTGAGAGCCAAAGTGAAAAGTCAGTTAAAATATTATTCTCTCATATCTGACAGGGCGACAGATTAGAAAAAAACAAACAGCTAATAAACCCATTTCATTTATATCTGCACCAAAAAGGATTACTTGCTGCTTTCACCATGTCCCCAAAGTCTATATTGCAGTTGTTTAGCTGCTGTACTATTCAGAATTCCCAGTTTTCTAGATGATGATTTGTGATTCAACACTCCTACTGATAGATCTCAACTTCAGCATCCATTTACTTTACACAGCATTACATCAGGTCTGCAGTTCCTTCCCTCAGTGTCTATTCAACACAACCCTGTGACTTTTTGTCTAGTCTGCTACAGCATTCACCTTCGTTGCAATTTCTCAGCTTAAGCCTCCAATTTAACTGTTTGAACCCACCAGGAATCTCTAGGAATATACAGAATTAACTTAAGGAACATTCGGACTAATTGCTTCTTCATTTGGACTTTTTACTACAAACCTCACATTCACTACAAACCTCACATTTCCTACTGGGGAAATGTATACCACTTCCTGACCAAGACAGATAGGTATAGTTAGTGTACCTTGCCTAACATTTTTTCTATAATTGTTCACTGTTCAAGCTGCAGGTAATTCTGCTTACTTGCCCCAAATATTAACATTTTATATCACT